GGGTTAGGTTTAGGGTTAGGGTTACAGCGCGCTTCTGTCGGCGCGCTGTTGTCGGCGCGCTTCAGTGCTCATTCGTCGGCGCGCTTTTGTCGGCGGGCTTTTGTCACCACGGTTTAGTCAGGCGCGCTTTTGTCGTTCGCGCATTTGTGGTAGAACCCCCTCGTGAAACCTGTCATACCATCTGCAAGTTTAATTCTTAAAGGCAAGTATCTGTTCCCATTTCAGGGTCCTGAAAGTTATTTTGGGTTTATTTAGACAAGATGGATTTTTGTTAATGTAGGACTTAAGTCCAGTTTGTTTCTTTTCTTTCAATTTCTATCAGGCACAAAACATCACGTCCATACCTGAAGGTCCAATTAAACTATGTATTGTTAATCATGCCTATGCACAGAAATATTCTCACAGAAATAACCAATGGTTAGCACTGCTTGGAGTTAGATAAGGGTCAACAGAATCCAAAGGAAGTTGAATTTAATTTAGATTTGACTATCTACGGATTCTAGGTTTTTTTAAAAAACACTACTTCCTTTTTTAAACTCTACCCCCAGGCTCTGCCACTCCTTTTCCTAAAATCTCATCAGATTAACACATTGCTTATTTTATTTCTCCTTCGGAGTTATGAAAATGGTACCTCAGAGTTGACTGCTGGATCTACAGAATGTTCCTCGCTTTTTTAGCAATCAGTCTCGATTACCTTATTAGTGTTTTGTTTTGGAGACAAGACCATTTAATCATCCAGGAGGGCATGCCATGGGGGAGAAATATTGCCCTTTTGTAATCACACAGGCAATACCCAGACTCCGAAGACAACATTGGTCTTCCGGTTGCTTGATGTAACAGAACTTTTGGAGAATGTGTTTTTTTATGTTCACCTTTTATGTGTGGAAAAACATTTGCTGGAATAAAAGCCGCAACGTAATTTATTGCATATCTAAAAAAGAGCTTAGGAATTGACTATTTTACACTAGTCGCTTCTGTTTTAGAAAACTGACAACTCTGCAATTTTCATTCTTTTGGTAGTAGTCATAGTGTAGAGAGAAATGTATCTCTAATATACTAACATTTATCTACAGAAATGATATTTCTTTAGAGAATAGATATTCTCTACAGAGAGACATGCAGTTACTTTTTGCATTAATTATCCCCAGACATTGCTATTTTATTAATTTAGGCTTTGCATACATCACACCATTTTAGCAAACCATTCTATTATTTTTATGTTTATATTCCCATGAGCAAATGTCACCGACAAGTTGTGCAATAATTTACTGTGAACAGTAAGCCAGCGATATTATTTTTTTCCATGGCTGTTTTAACTTTTTACATAGAACATTTTTTTTCTACGTAAGTCTCTGAGAGTGACTTAGATTGCAGTAGCATAGAAATATGTGTAATTGTAAATAAATTCTTATAATGAATAGTTGAATGAATAGTTATATTATCTGTTTATGTTTCTTTAGGTGGTATATTTTACTGCTACATTCCCATATGTAGTGCTTATCATCTTACTTATCAGAGGAGTTACCCTGCCAGGAGCTGGGGCTGGAATGTGGTACTTTATCACACCTAAATGGGAGAAATTAATTGACGCTATGGTAAGCTGTTATGCCAGATATAATACTATAATGGAATAAAGCCACATATAGAATTATTTTTGAGTAAGAAAGCATTATGTGATATGAATGTTTATGACAGCTTATTTTCTGCTCTAACCATGCTTGTATTTCTTAATTTTGTATTTTTGTATTTTAAAAGAATAATTTTTTTAAAAAAAAATGACAGCTGTATTTCTAACATTATCTGATCAATGTTATTGGCTCCTTCAGGACAATACTTCATTTGCTTAAGGCATAATATCTGTTCAAACCATGATGACTACAGCATGGCTGTGAAGATGAATGTTTGGTTAAACTAAAGTCCATCTTACATATTTGGTTGTGCATAGGATCCAGAGTACTATGTGAAAAAGTCACTTGCTATAAATCTAACCAAGTGTTCCTGAATACAACATGCAATTACCTATCCTAAAGATATAGGTAGAATCAGTTGGAAGAAAATTCCACAATCAGAGGAAGAGATGTAGTAAACATATGTTACAGGTATATTGGAAGAATATTATGTTTTCCAGAAGTATACTTAGCTCTACTTGTTGTGTACAAAAATTGGATATTGCTGTTGAGTTTAAACTCAA